GATCTATAATTGCCCTCAAAAACAGACATATGGTAAAACTACAACTCGATTTGGGACATAGGACAGAGCCAGGGTCACTCATGTCTCTGGGCTTTATGGAAAACTAAACTAACCAGTTCAATTACTCAAGTGTCTAGAGTTTGTGCTTCCCTCTGTCTTCATTCGTCTGTGAATGACACTAAAGTTACATTATGTATGGATGCACACATTCAGTATTTTGCAAATCAAAACTGGCCTGTGTCATTTTGTCAATAATTATAAAATACAAATGAGTAGATACTGACAAATCTGTAATATCACATATTAATTTTGACAAAACGCTTTAAAAAGCACTACCAATCATGTGCTGTTAATTATATTTCTTTATGTCTCAACTAAATGGCTTCACTCAGTGATGCTACAAATGATATAGTATAACATTATATGCAATGAGTAAAGTAAATCAAATTTTGTAAAAATTATAGCCCGACTGATATGGATTTTGGGGATTATACAAGGTAGTTGTGGCTCAAGACATATAGTGGGTCTTCCATTAATCAGAAGGTTAGCGGTTCCATCCCAGTCTCCCCTGTTCTGACTGCCAAAGTGTCCATGGACAAGATGCTGAATCCCTGACACCTGCGTTTGACTGTTGTATGATAGAGAAAGTGCAGCACATAGACACACTGTATAAATGTGTGTTTGAATTGGTAAATGGATAAACTGTAAAGTGCTTTTAGTGGTTATCAAGACTAGATAATATACTATACAGACCATTTACAGTTTGACAAAAGTAATGGACAAATTTGAAAGAACTGATGATGGTTGCAGACATTATCGCACATCAACAAAGTCCTTATTACCATGTGGAGATCTGGAGGTGAATATCTCTATAAAATTCTATGGCAACCCACAAGAAGTTGTTGCAGTATTTCAATCTGAAGCAAAGTGATGAAAAACCAACAGATGGACACAGAGCCATGGCCTCATTGTAAAAAGCCCCCCCTTCCTTAAACCACCACTTGTTGCAAATGCAATCTTCAAAGGGTAGTTAGTACCTTCTGTGTGCACATACCGTACATTCACTTTGACATGTGAACCTCAAACTGCTGCTCAGGGAGAAGAAGTAGAACTGCGGTTGCTGCCTGTCCTATGGTGTTGTATATATTG